GTGGCGAAGGTGGTACTATGGCGTGGTGGCTAGTCACGTGAGTGGCGGAGCTGTGGCGTTGTGGCGTTGTGGCTTGTGTGGCTAGTACGGCGTCACGTGGGGTGGCTTGAGATGAGGCTGAGGCTTGGCACCGCGCCACATCCCAATTAGGAAGTGTAGTCCCCTTACCGGGTTAGGAAACAGTAAAAAGTTTCCTAAAGAGGTAAGTATTCAACATCCGTGTTCAGTTACCGGATCCGGAAATACACCCAGGAGGCGCTGCAGGGGTCCCCCCTGCCGTGCGCCATACATCATGCATGCAGGTAAGACCCATGTTCGGATGACTTTGGTTACCTGATTCGGCTACCCTTCCGCTTGCCGGCGTGACAGGGATCGTTCTCACCGCTCGACACACACCTCGCTTAGAATACGTGGTCGCCGATGCAAGGTAAGCTGGGCACACTACTATGAAAAGTGGTAGGCCTTAATTCCCACCCACACCAATGGATTTTTGCGCACACCCTCGCGCAATTCCCCTGTTATCGCCCACATCGTTCGTCGGGCGTAGCGAGTATCCCGACACGAATAGGAACTGCTTGAGATCTTCAAAGACTCTTCAGTTCCCCGCATACTGAAGAGTCTTTTGGATCAAAGACGAAACAAGCAATACCATTCTTCCCTTCATTGTTGAATACTTGTCTACGCCCCTCGTCGATATCAGCAAAACTCTTTACTTCTACGTCTCCAGTCACGCAGTTGACCTAACCCCTACGCCTAGCTCGCTGTGCTTGCTCGGCTAACCCTAACCCTAACGTCAACCCTAACGTCAACCTCAACCTCAACCTCAACCTCAACCTCAACCTCAACCTCAACCTCTCACCTCTCACCTCTCACCCTTCACCTCTCACCTATTTGCATATCCCAAGCTACTAGATACCCCATTTGGACTACTCTGAACCATTAAAGATAAAGAGGGAATGGGGGAGTGAAAAGGGAGGAAGAATGAGAAATCTTTGCAAGTAATAATAAAGGAATAATAGGGATACTTGAGATTTCTTGGATGTCTCAGAATATGGTCAGGGTAGATAGCAGGATAAATCATTTTCTGTTTCACAGAAAATGGATTAAAAGAGATGAAATATATAAGTAAGAATGGAATTTTAAAGGTACAGGGGTATTCAGAATGGAGTAGTAGACATTCTGGCAAGATTTGGATACAAATAGAACAAACTCCAGGGAGATTGCGGGGGGTGCCACAATAAATACCACTATAAATAGGCACTTTATTGGGTGAAAACAGGTTCATAGAGTGGAAAAAAGGGAAATATTTTGTTACCAATGTATTCAGACTAGTCTAATTGAGGTAGTAAAGTTCTTGGCACCCTGAAATAGGTATGGCTAGTACCTTAAAATAGTAAATCACACTATAAATCAGCAAATTCTGACCTGAGAATAGTAGAAAACAGCAGTTTTTTTATCTTTAATAGTTCAGAGTAGTCCAAATGGGGTATCTAGTAGCTTGGGATATGCAAATAGGTGCATAACTGGATATAAATATGAATACATAAAAAACTTA